CAACTTTAAGACTTGTGGACTTCAACTCCCAGAATTCCTCAGCCAGCTTTGCTGGCTGAGGAATTCTGGGAGTTGAAGTCCACAAGTCTTAAAGTTGCCAAGGTTGGAGACCCCTGGCCTAAATAATGCTGATCAATAAAGCCCAAATGAACCCTTCCATCTTTCTGGATTATCCTGTGCAATGACTCTGCAAATTCAGTTTGTTACTTAGGTGTTAAACGGTCCATATTTTGACCCCTTAAACAAATTAGTGTGGATGTAATTATAAATATTGTTCTCAGCAGGTAGTGAAATATGTTTTTAATTCAAAATCCAAATATCCTCAGGAATAATTTTCAAGAAAGTCAAATGGTAAATGGAGTTCATGCCAAATGTGTCCATGACTCTTTTGTCCCCTTTTCTCTTTCTCTTTTCCTAACCATTTATTCTTGAAACCATAGGTTTAAATAATAGTGGCGCCTAAATTCTGAATACCTTTACTTGCAAATTTAAGTGGAATTTAGAAGTGCTTTATAGAAGTATAGTGTATTGTGTAGCTCGGTGGTGGGATTCAACTTTTTTAAACTACCAGTTCTATGGGTGTGGCTTGGTGGGCGTGGTAGGGGGAGGAGACTGTAAAATTTCCAGTCTGGGGTGGTATTTGCCGATTTTCCGAACTACTCAAAATTTCCGCTACCAGTTCTCCAGAACTGGTCAGAACCTGCTGAATACCACCTCTGCTGTAGGTACATAAGTAGATCTTATTATTATACTCTTCCATGTAATTTACTAGGAATTTTGATGTTATATTAAAAATTGCAAAGATATATCCACTGTTGATGTGACATACAATGAAATTGGAAAAGACAAAAGGATTCCAGCTAAAATAATGTCACTTAGGAACATACAACAAGGGGAAAATCTCATATTTCTCACATTATTGTACATTCATCAAAAGTAACATGTGATTCTTAATTGGCCAAGATCATCTAATAAGGATGGGACGAGCGAAATTCTGTATTCTGTATAATTAATAGAATTAATCTGATTTTTCAATTTGTTTCAACTTGTATCATTGTCAAACTGATTTTTTTAAAAAGCCTGTTCAAAGCACATACATATAAGTAAATAAACAATAATATAAATAACTTACCAATTGAAATTTCACAATTTTAAACGGCCTTGATAAAAGGATATTTTATATTCTGTTCTAGACTATATCAAAATTAGACTACTAACTCCAGTATCAGTTCATACATTATTAATAATATAGACCTATCATATAAAAATAAAATGTGATAATTATGTTCATTAGTTTAACTTGCAGTTAATGAAATTTTCTTTTTTGTCCTTAATGCCCTGATATACTCATTCCAATATTTCACAGATGGAATTAGAAACATTGGCATGGTTGGAAGTTAGAGTTAAAGAAACATAACCTGGGCAGACATAACATAGCAAGACACACCAAGGAAGAAATAAAGGACTTGAGAGCAGATGTTCAACGTGGTAAAAACAAGTGAGGCATGGGATACAAGACACAGGATACATAGTCCTTTATCATAAAATTATTTATAGGATGGCTGCAGGGACAATCAATTTAAAGCCAGATAAAAAATATTATGCAATCTTAGTGGACCAAAAAGTCTGAGATTTTAGGGACAGGACTCAGGATCGCATCTCTCAAAACGAAAAGAAGTGACTGGTGGATGGATTGGAATAGCTAATTGACTGACTTAATTTTGGATCTGGTTAGATTTGCTAATCCTAGAACTATTGCTTTCCCAGGAAAAGTGCAAAAACTGCAGGGCTAGTCTAAGATCTGTCCAGAGGCAGAGAACCTGAATGTTTAAGATACTGAATTAGGTTTGGGGAGGCCTACAGTAAATTCACTCTTGGCCACAAAAGCTCACAGGATGATTTTGGAGATTTCTCTCTCTGTGAGGCACCCTCCCTTAGAGGACTGATGTTGTAGAGAAACATAGCCCACGCTCCTCGACCTACTGTGGAAAAGTGGTATATAAATATATATGTTGGATAATAACAAAATAAAATAATAATGTAGTGCCGAAGACTGAAGAAGTCAACTAGTTATCTTGCCAACTAAAGCATCACTTTTCCTCTCTGACAGAAAAGAACAATAATAATAATAAATGACGTACAATAATAACAAATTACTATCCTGCCTAAGGCAAACACCTTATTCTTCCTCATGCTTCAGTTGCGCTAATCCTGAGTACAATGCTACTGTCAAGCAACAGCTTTATATTTTGTTTTCAGATAACACAGAAGAAATGTACTGATGGAGTTGCCTAGCAACGAACTACAGCTCTTCATTTCTCTCTCTGTTTTCCTCTTTGAAAAAAATCATTCTTTGATGAAATTCCAGTGAGAAGCATCTGCTTGGAGTATGCAATAGCTTTTCACAAACTCAATTTAGCATATTTCTCAAAGCATTTGTTTGATTTGTGTTGCTATTATAAATATAAAAATGCATCAGCTTAAATTGGTTCAGTGGTGGTATTCAGCAGGTTCAGACCAGTTCTGGAGAACCGGTAGCGGACATTTTGAGTAGTTCGGAGAACCGGCAAATATACCACCTCTGACTAGAGACTTTACAATATCCTTCCCCCGCCACGCCCACCAAGCCACGCCCACCAAGCCACGCCCACAGAACTGGTAGTAAAAAAAATTGAATCCCACCACTGAATTGGTTTATATATATATATATAATTTTCTATTGATACATATTTATATGAATGAATGACTAGATAGTATCAATAGCTATATATAAAAAACAAATGTTTTCTCACATGAAACTGAAATATTATTTTTGCAAATTTTAAATTAAACCCAAGGACAAACAATACTATGTATTGCGTAACAATTAATACATTGATTATAAATCTTAATGAGATTATGAGATCTTTAAAAATACCTGGAATTTAATTTAATAAATATTAAATAGCTAGCATAATGATAGGGTTATTTTAATATTTGGTTGTAATATGTGCCTTTAAAAGCAACTGATGAAGGAAAAGTTATGTAGATCTTCAGTATGACTGCCCCTAAAAGCTAAAATTCTCAGTGAATTTTAATGCAAACTATTTTAATATTTCTCCTCCCCCACATACACACACTGCTTTCCTGTTAACACATCTGTCAACTTCTATTTTTCACTCATGGATGGGATAATTGTCTAGTAAACTGAATGGCTGAAAATTGATAAATAATTGTCACTTTATAGAAAAAAGAATA